TTCCAGGTGGCAATATCACCTCTCCTTTCGCTGCTAGAAAGGTCATGTATTCTGCTTTTTGCAGTTTGCGATGACTTGTGCAGCTCTATGAAAATACATCTTCCACATCCTAGAGATCTGCAGCTGACACGATCCTTTTATACATGGACTTTGACAGACCAGAAGCAGACCTCCACCAAAAAACAGCTGTTCCATAAGTGAAGACATCTGAAATGATGGTAAGGATTTTTTTTAAACCTGAACTATTGAACAACTACTAAATTCTTCTGATTTAAATATATTTATTTTTCAAGTGTAACCTATGAGTAATTAAAATAATCACAGCAAAGGCTGGTCAATTAGATCCATCTCAATTAAGTATAGGAAACACTTTTGTGCTGATGTTTTAAAGATGACCAAACCACTGGAATGACAAAGTCATTCACACAAACACTTGAAATTACAGTTTCTAGAAAGTGTTAAACCAGATTTTACCTGAATTAGCATCTTCAGTCCTATTTATTCAGCCTATCGGTTCAATGAAGCTGACATACCAATTATGAAGTCAATTTTAAAAAAGACTGCCTCAAGATTTTCTGGCCTTTAAAATCAGTACATATCACTTACAGACCTTAGTATTAGTCCCAGATTACAAACTAAGCTTATCAGAAGTTGAAAATAAACTATAACCTTCTTTTATAAAATCAGTTCTGAATACAAAGCTTTTGCACTTAAGCATATATTTTACACATTTGAAGGCAGTTTCAGATATTGTTTTAAGTGCTCTTTGATCTTCTCCCTTTCACTAGCCAATAATTTGTGTCCACTTTCTCTTAAAGTCGAAAGCTCATTCAGCTGCCTATGGTAATAAACAGCAACTATAACACACTGACTCCTTTAAGTTACATACATTTGAAAATAAAGGTGTTCATAGTGTAGCTCCTCATTAGGAAGAGGGACACCAACTCATAATCAATTATAGTCTCAAACTGATATATTTTAACGGCTATCAAATAAGCACATTTACTTAGAGGGAAGAGTTAAAATTCACAAATGGAAGAAAAAAAAATTCAAATCACCAGTACAGCGTGATGTGCAGCAGTGTATTACCACAGCATCCAAGACGCTTTAAAGCT